CCCGCCCCCACCCTCGGCTGCGTCTGCTCCGCCCTGTCCTACCCACTGGCAGCTCTGACGGGAACCCAGCCCTTTTCTCGTGTGTCAAAGTGAGTCCCAGTCAGAGCCCCATCCACGCTCCTTAGCGACCCCGCCTTTTGTGGGAGCAGGCGCGGCGCGTGCGGGCCCAGGTCCTTCTCTGGAGAATTTGTAAAAACTAAATAAATGATGTTGATGATGACTTGCTCTTGTCGCCCAAGGCCGCCGGCATCCAGGACCCCACCAGGAAGCGGGGGGCTGTTGGAGGGGTGAGGGCTTCGGGTGGATGTGAGCCTGGAGCTCCTCGTGCTGTGGCTGAGACGTTTGCTCTGGAAATGCCGCTCTGCGGATTCCAGGACAGCTCTCTCTAGGCAGCGCTCAGCCTGGCTCAAGGAGGACACGTCCCTGGCCTGCTCCTGCCCTCTTCCCACGGGCAGCAGCTCTGTTCCCTTCACCTCAGCTGAAAATGAGCAGCAGCAGAGCTGGGGGCTGAGGGGTAGACGGAGCCCCTCCTGTGTGCGTGCTGACATGGGAACGACCCTCACACCCGCCCCAAGGACCCCTGCCTCTGGCACAGTGTCGGGAGCCCCTCAACCCAGGGCCACGTGCGGCCATCACTGGTGCTGGACGTGAAGCTCGAGGGCGTGTTCATTGTCACAGACGGTTCTGTTAGGGGAGCTTCGGGCTGTTCCCAAGGAGACGCCAGGTCAGCCCAGCAGGCGCCCAGAGCATGTGTGTCCCTGGGGCGGGCCTGCCGCGGCCCTTGGGAGCTACTACTATGCAGATGCCAACGTTCAGGGCATCTGCAGTCCTCATGGTCCGCTTGTCCCCCTGGTTTTATTTTAAAACTGCTTTAGATACCACTGCCGGTGCGTGAGCCTCCCCGGGCTCTGGCATTGGGTCTGCGCAGCCAGCAGCCAGCCGCCAGCTGCCAGCCAGGGCCTGTTAGTAAGGGAAGCACTGCAGCCAGGCCTGGTGGGCGTCCGCAGGCCTATCAGCACCCGACAGACACTGACCCTGAGTGTCACACACTGTGCCCCGGACTCCTGTGCCCCATTGGCCGGTGCAGGGCAGTCTGGGAGGCATCATCCTCCACCTGGAAGGAGGCTTGAAGCCATTGACACTGCCCACCAGGGCTGCATGGTGTGGCCGCTCTTGACAGGAGTGCAGGTGACCGGGAGGTCCGTCCTTCCCTGGGTGCTGCAGGGTGGGTGGGGAAGGCAGAGGGCACTTGGAGCCTGCAGGCGTGTTCTAGCCAGTTTTGTCTGTTAGCTTGTGTGTTGCCTCCTCCTGTGGACTCTGCTGTCCGTGAGCAACATGCAGAATAACGCGGGCTCTGGGCTGCGCCTCTGGTTTCCTGCAGGCGGGTAAGCGGGCGAGGCACGGCCTCTCATCGGCCAGGGAGGGCGACCAGGATGCTTGGGGGCAGCCCCAGCTGTCCTGCTTCTCTCCATGGTGGCCTTGGTGGTGGCAATGGGTTGTGCACATACCTCAAGGCTGTGATGCTCAGAGGGTTGCTGTGCTCACCCCCAGGGGCTCTGCCACGCTCCCCTGTCTCTTGAGTGGCCCCTGGTGGAGGTGAGGAGGCAGCTGCAAAGCTGTCCCTTCCTTTAAGCCTTAAGTCCAGTTTTCCAACATTAGATGCAATCAGCGACCGGATTTGCTATTCTAGAACTCAGGGAGGGATCGAGGGGCCCGGCCAGTCCAGGGAGAGGACCAGGGGCCAGGCCAGCCTAGAAGGGGGCCATGGGCTGCATACTCTCCACCAGCAAGTTGCTGAGCTGGGGTCCTGTAGCAGCATCTCCTGGTAGGTTCTGTGATCTTAGAAAATAGGGTGTTATTTCAACCCAGGTGAGGAAAGGACATTTACACTGAAATGAACATTTATGTTGTTTTTAAAATTTAAACTGCCCCTGGGGACAGCTGTCCACATAGACCCGACTCCCGTCTCTGAGTCCCCAAGGTGGCCGTGGTGGTGGGGCTCCTGTGCCATGTGGAAGGGCCCGGCAGGAGGATGCACAGGGATCCCATGGACCAGGTCTGTATGTTTGAAAGTCCGCCTGGAACACAGAAAGCATCTTCCCTGCAGACCGGCATGCAGCTCAGACACTGCAGACAGATCTCTGCGCAGGCAGCACACCCAGGAGGGCCCAGCTCCAGGATCCGGGGCCTCACTTCCAGCCACCCGGCCCGAGCGAGGACAGGCACTCCTTGCCTGCAGCAGCTCAGGGGGTTGTCTGTGAGGTCCTCTGTGTTTCCCACCTCGGATTTGGGGTTCTGAGCCCTCTGGGGCAGGCCTTGACCCCTGGCTCTGGGCTCCTGGGCTGGAGTCCTTTCCTTCCTATGCCATCTCCCCTCACCACAGGGAAATCCCGTGGCCTGGATGGCCCAAGCCAAACCAGTGGCCACCACCCTTGGTACCACTGTCCCCACCTGGCTGGCCCCTGCCAACTCCTCCTGGTGCCTCCTGCCGCCCTCCACTGTCCTGCCCGGCAGTGGCCATCCCCACTGGGCTCGGTCCTGGGAAGGACAGGGCTGTGCTTTCTGAGATCACCATGTCCCTGCTGCTCATTCACTTCAGGGGACAACATGGTTATGAGTCTCAGCCACAAGGGCCTCTCCTGGGGCTGGTGATAGGGGGTGACGACTGGGGTCCTTCTCAAGCCCCTTGAAGCCCGGGAGGGCACTCGGATGCAGGCGGTGCCAGCCCACCCTGTGACAACACAAGCCCGCGGGGACCACAGGTGCCATCCTCCAGAGTCACAAACCCCTTCACAGCAGGGAGACGGGGGCAGGGGTGCCTGGGCTGGCCAGAGCCCCACCTCTGACCCCCGCATAGGCCTGTTTCCCACCTTGGGTCAAGCGTCTGGTGTTGGTCTGGCTCCTGTAGGGGCCACCATTGGGGTGGTGTCCCTGAGGGTGGCCTTGCCAGTGCAGCTGATTTAGGCAGGAGGGGACCCCTGACTGCCCGGCCTGGGCCTGAGGTGTCACTTCCCGTGTCCTTGTGAGGAAATATCCCTCAGGAAAGTGCCGGCCAGCATCCTACAGAGATGCCAGCACACACCCTCTGACAGGAGGGTCGTGCCCTCGGGCTCCGGAGCCCTTGGGCTCAGCTCAGGTCACGCAGAAAGGATGCGAGCTGAAAAGCAGTTAAATCGAAGGTAATTTAAAAATCCATTTTGAAAAACTTCAAGCAACATGGAAATACTAAGAACCACCCCCGCCCCCCCCCAACACACACACACTCAGAGCTAAGAACTTTCCACCCAAGAAAGAAAAAGTGCCTGACGGCGTTGAGGCCCATTTGTCCCTCTCCAAGTCACTTCTGTCCTAGACGTCACAGCGCACCACTGCTTCTAACTTGGTCCTGTCCCATTACTGCAGCGCGGCGCTTCCGCTTTGGTCCCGAGACGCGTGGGCGCATCCGCGTCTTCCGCAGTCGGTTCAGTTCCTGGCGCACCTCGAGCAGGTCCGCGAACGAGGCAGGGGGCTTTCAGTGTCACAAGCGCCCGGCGCTCCCGGCCCTGCGCCCCCAGTGCCTGCCCGCCGCCCGGCCCGCGGACTTGCCCAGGCCACGCGCCCAGGAGCGGAATCCCGGCCTAGGGGGGTCTGGACAGCGTTTCGCTCCCATGTGTCACTGAGCTGCTCCCTGGCTCCCCGTTTTCCACCTGAGCACAGCTAACCCCCTCCCCGCCACCCTTAGCGCTATCAGACGATTTTCCTTATTGTTTGTTCTTCTGAATTATCCTAACCAGAGTCATTATTTCCAGTATTTTATAATATGGGGTTCTTGTAGAAATAGGAAATAACACGAAGCCTTAATGAAGCTCGGGGCGGTGCAGAGGGAAGCCCGCACATCTGGGGGCACCGCCCTGGGTCTGGGGGCGCCCCTTTCTTCTCAGTCCGGGAGTCTTTGCAGTCACGACTTCACACACCACCGCCTTGTCTGGGGACCGTGGACAGGAGGCTGAATGGAACTTTGGGAAGATTCCGACAGCCCGCCCAGTGCCCGGCGCGCGGCGCGTTGTGTCCAGTCCCGGGGGTCTCTGGCACCCGATCCTGCCCCCTCTCCGCTGGACCTGCGGGCGGAGGCCGTCGTCGTCGTACGAGCTGTAGTCCGCAGTGCACCGCCCGCCCGGCGCCGCCCCCCAAGAGTCTCCCCAACAGCGATGGGCCCCAGAAGCCCGACTGCGCGTGGAAGATCTACCCCTTCCCCGAGACCTTCCGCACGCACCCTGCGAGAAGCCGGAGGAGAAATCTGCGTCGCTCGCTATGGGAGGCGGTCAGGGGCGGGGCAGCGAGGGGCATGGGGGGCGGGGCCCGAAGATGTGCCGGGCTTACGAGAGGGGTGGTGCCAGGGCAGAGCCTATGGGGAGGGGACTACAGGAAGGGGGCTGAGGGAGGGCGGGACCTACGGGGAGGGGCTTGGGGGGGCGTGCTGGGGGGGGGGCTTCCGGAACTCCCCCCCCACGGCCCGAGACCCGCTCGCTTGCCCGCAGGCACCGCCCGCGGTGGGAACCCGCGCCCTAGAAGCCGCAAGGAGCGGACGCGCGGCGCTACGCACAGGGCGCCTCCGCGCGGGCCAGTAGCCGCAGGTCTCCCTTCTGCGGGCGGGCGCGGTGACCTCCTGACACGGAGCGCTGCGCCACGGACCTCAGGCCGAGGAGCGCGCTCAGCCATGGGCTTCGTGCGGGGAAAGCCGGGGCTCCGCGGGCGGCCGGAACCCTGACCTTCGTCCCAGCAGCGCATGGGGAGGACGAGGCGTGGAGGCAGACCTGAGCAGGGAGCCTGGAGTCCCCCGCAGGGTCCTGGCTCCCGCGGGGCGCTCGGCCGCTCTGCAGCCGAAGGCGCCATGGGCGGGGACTACAGGGAGAGCCGCCGGGAGCCTTCGCCCGGTGTCCCGCGGCAGGTGTCCCCGCCCCGTGGACCCCGCGGACTACGCCAGCAGCGTCACCATTTGAAGCGTTTTGTTTCAGAAGCTGGAGAGGAAGACGGGGCGGTCACCGGTGTGGGTCTCCACGGCGGAGGCAGAGGCGGAGGCAAACGGCCGCGGGGCGGGGCGGTCAGGGGACCGGGCACGAGGGCCGTGAGGGGACTTCCTGTTGCTCAATAAACCAGGGCGGGACTTCGTGATGCGCCCTGAGGGCGACGGAGGACGCAGGGCTCCGGGAGGAGTCCGGGCAGGACCTGGGGGCCACGGGCGCGCGAGAGCAACGAGGCCCGGAAGGGTTCCTGCGCTGGCCCCGGTGACCTGCCCCCGCGGGGAACAGCGTCTCGCAGGGCACGTGCAGCCTGCGTGACCCGTATGTCCTGCCCACACCAGGTCCCGAGCACCAGCCTCCTCCCAGCTTCTAGAGGAACCCCTGCTGTCAACACCCTCACTTCTGCTGCGGAGGCCAAGGCCACCAGGATTCCAATCTCTTAGCGGACCCCTCCCCAACAGCTTTCACGGCCACGTTCCTGAAGTTTGCGGCACCAGAACTGGGGGGCGCAGCTCTGTGGGATAGCGGAGGGTCACGTTAACTTTGTCCCCCAGCTGGGAGCTGCTGGGGACCAGTTGCAGGGATCCTCCCGCAGCTGACCCAGACGACCCCATGCAATGTCACTGCTGAGGTCACTATTGTTCCCAGCCCCCAGCCCTCCCTAAGCCCCATCCTGGGTCAACCCAAGCATACCAGAAACCACCCACTCCCCTCCAGCCTGCGGTGCCTGCCCATCTCTGGACCCTGGTGCCACCCCCGGCTCTTCCCACCTCCACCTATAAGGCATCTGCTTGGAAACTTTCATGGCCCCTCAGCTTGACCTTCGAGACCCTGCAGATCACCCCCCTGCCAGCCCGCAGGGTTGTCTGTATGCCCGTCTGCCCTGCTTTGCTCCTGCATGTTTCTTACTAGAAGTTTCTTTCCCCAGGACTCATTCTGGAAGACCTGGGGTGCTAGCTGCAGCCACTGGGCCAAGTGTGGGGAGGTCCTTCCTGGGCTGGGTCCCTCTCCTCTTCCCAGCCCTTCCTGTCCCAGCTGCCTGCAGCAAGTGCAGTGGGCACGTGTGACCCCCCCCCCCAGTTTCAGTGTGACAACATGTGCCTCGTGGGGGACCTGGTGCCCAGGCCTACCACCAGGCCAAGCCAGGGCATTCGGCCCCCGTCTGGATGGCCCTGTTGGAGCGCAGCCACTGTTGGGGTAGGGCAGCACCTCTCGGGCTGACGAACCTGAGATTGAGCCTGGAGCCTGGCATTCTCAGGTCGGACAGTCCTGGAGGCACTGCCCAGGGCGCAGCTGGAGCCCGCAGCAGGCAGCCTGTCCTGAAGACCCTCACCCCGAGCGTGTGTCAGCAGCTCTCTGGACATGCACGGGTGGATTCAGGGCTGCATCCGGTCCCTCCCTCCTTCCCCAGACCATGCTCTGTTGGAAACACCGCCAGCCCCACTGAGCCCCACTGAGCCCCAAGGAACCCCTATTCCAGCCCCGAGTCTGTCCTTGTGCGGTGTCCTGGTGTCCTTCGCTGCTCACGCCCTGCAAAGGGCGCCTCTCCCCCTTCCCGGGGTGTCCAGAAGCTGTGCGGAGCCTTGGTCGCAAGAAGGTCTTGGACCTTGGATCCCGGCCCTGTTTCCTCGGATGGGGAGGTGGTGTCCATCCCCCCACTGGCAATCTCCGGAAAGGCTGAAACCTCTCCCCTCGGGCTATTTGAAAGGTGGCCCACTTCCGCCAGCCCACGGGGCTTTGGCAGGAAATGGGTCTAAGAACCCCCAGTGCCACTAACCTGTGGCCAAGCATTGCCAGGCCTCGAGCTTCCCTCTGCCCAGAGGTCCCCAGCCTGGATGGGGAAACTGAGGCAGACCCTCTGGTCCAGGCCTCCTGACTCCAGACCTGCCAGACTCTCCACCAGCCCCCACTGGCCCTCCTTCAGTGGGAGGAGGCTGCCCCCCCCCCCCAGAGGCTGGTGGCTAGGTGGGGTGGGGCAACGGACCGGCTCCTCAAGCTCATGCAGCCGTGGGGTCAGATGCACGTGTCTGCACGCCTTTGGACATTCTGCAGGTGGAGATGTTGGACACACGTTATGTGCGCACATGAGTTTGATTTGTTCTCCTCAGGAGCCAGCACGACTGGACCCTCATTTCTCATCTGGGCAGATGGGGCTGCCCCAGAGCCTGTGTCCCCAGACCAAGAAGGGCCCGCTGTGGGCCTCGCAGCCCCCTTGAACCAGCCCAGGATTTCACGGAGAAGGAGCCATGCCTGCCTCAGCACATGGCACTCCAGGAGGAAAGGAGGGAGGGAAGGGGCCTGGAACATGGGAAAGGGTCCACTCACCTGCATGGGAGGAGACGTCCCTTTGCTCACTTCTGGGCCCCATGGTGACCCTCTCTGTCCTGGGTGCCTGCCCTCCCCTCGGACAAGCCTCCCGCCTTTATCTGCCCCACTTGACCTGGCCCCCGCCCACCGACTTCCTGTCCCCGCCCCATGACAGACAAGCTTTTCCGTGACATGGCCTTTGTGGGGTGTGGGGTGGGGGGCACCCAAGAAGGCCGGGGGGTGGGGGCAGGAAAAGGTTGAGAGCAGGCCTAGAGAGATGGAGGAGGGGGGATTGTCTTAGTGTCCCAGGTCCACCCTCAGCTTCTCAGAGGTCACGGCCCCACATGCGCTCCCTGTGCACGTGGACATGGGTATACGGGTACACAGATACTTGTGTGCAGGTCCACATCTGTGCCCACCGCGGCCAGGCAAGCCAGCTCTGGGATACGTCGGGCGGCCAGAGAAAAGCCTGCCCTCACCTTGGGGTACACGATGGCTGAGACCCTGGCCGTCTCCTGTCTGGGTTCTTGCCACTGAGGCCTAGGCAGCAAGTCACTGCTGCCAACAGCTGACCACATGGCCCCTGGTGTCCCCAAGGGTGCAAACAGGCGCAGGCTTTGGGCCCTGCCTCTCAAAGTCCCTGGGGCCATCCTCCTTCCCCACGTCCAGGTCCCCTCCCGCTCCCCACACCCAGGCCCCCCTCCCCACACCCAGGCCCCTCCCCCTCATCCAGCCCCTTCCCCTCCCCATGTCCAGGTCTGGTGGCCATCAGGCAGGAGGTTCCAGGACACCAGGTGCCGAGCCCTGGACCACAGGGGAAGCCTTGCCAAGGACTAGGGGCCTGTTCCTCTGCCTCCTGCTGCGGAGGACCCATAGCCTGGGCACCACTCCTGCACGTTCACCAGCCACAGCTCCGCTTTCCCAAACCTTCATCCATCTTCTATGACAAGGAGAATAAAAAAATCACAGGTGACTTTTTTATTATTAAAATAAGTTAACGTCTGTCTACCTTGGAAGCTTAGACCATGGGGGCAGGATGAGGAAAGGGTGGGGACAGGCATGGGGAGGGTACAGCCTGGGCCACTAACTCATGCAGGCCACTTCCTCCTCGTCGCTGCCATCGGGGACCGTGTCCGTCCCAAAGTAGCGGTCGCCGAAGTTCCCTGGAGAAAGAAGCAGGCCTCGGGCAGATTCTCCCACCCATGCACCCCCTCCTCCCCACGGACCCCCCCACCATGGGTGCTCCCACCCATCGGTGCTCCCCCTACTCTCAGGCTCCCCCCACGGCTATGGGTGGCCTCACCGATGCCAGGGATGATGCGGAAAAGGTCGTTGACACGCTTGTCCACTGCCGTGGTGATGATCTTCACGCGCGGGAACGCGTAGGCCACAGAGTGCACACCCATCTCAGCCATGAGCAAGGACAGCAGGAAGATCTTGTCCTCGGGCACGTCGTGGTCCTGGGGGACAGGGCAGGTGAGCCCCGCCCCAGCCGCCAGCCCACCCACGGGCCAGCAGCCCCGCCCCCGGCCCATCCCCACGCCCACTCACCAGGAGCACGCGCACCGCCATCATCGCCGCGGCGCCCGTGGACACGGTGCAGTCCATCAGGATGACGTGGTCGTCACTGATGTCCTTGGGCAGCCGCAGGTAGTGGAGCTGGGAGCAGCGGGGTGACCACGGGGTCAGCACCTTGTTCTCCCTGCCCTCCAGTCCTTCCTCTCCTCTCAGGCTCCCGTGACCCCGCCCCTTCCCCTTCCCCACCTCGGGCTCCCCGGTGAGCTGGTTGGTCTGGATGAGGATCGTGCCGATGCGCACGTCTTTGCACACGGCCCGCAGCGCTGGCTCCATGGTCTCACCCGCTCGCAGAATGGACACACCAGTGATCTGGCAGGGGTGGGGGGGGAACCAGTGATGGGGAGAGGTCAGCGATCTGGGGGGAGGCTGGTGATGGGGTGACTGGTGATGGGGGGAGACTGGTGATCCGGGGGGAACTGGTGATGGGGGGCCCGGTGGTCTGGGGGTGAGGAGCATGTACCTGCTTCCCCGCGTAGCACTTGCCCGAGTAGTCCTGACCCTGCGGGGTCTGCACCACGCACTCCTGCATGCAGAGTGGAGGGGCTGGGGCACACGAGCCATGGGAGCCCCCCCTCACAGACACCCCACCCCACCCCACCCCTCTACACACACCTGGAAGGGCAGGAAAGAGAGAGCATGCTCGATGAGGAGGCGCATCAACCGCTTGGAGTAGAAAATGAACTCGTCACGGCTGGTCTCTTTGTCCCTGCAGGGTGGGCGGCCTCAGCAGGGGGTGTGGCCAGGGCCCGCCCACCCAGCCCCAGGCGGGCCCTCACCTGATGATAGTGTGCATACCCCGCACCTGCGGCGTGCTCTTAAGAACGCTCAGCGTCCGTGGCAGAGGGTGACACTGGTGTGCAGAGGCCAGCGCAGCCCTGGAGACACAAATGACCGATGGCAGCCACCCCGAGCCATCTCCTCCCAAAGCCGCCAGGAGTTGCGACCCCTCCCTCCCTCACGGCACGTGCGCGTGTCCAACTGGGGGGGCTTGTGGGCCACAGGCCTAGTCAGAGGTGGGTGTACAGCCCCCGTGTGTCCCCCAGACCACACCCTGAGAACCAGGATCAAAGCACACGTGTCCCAGAGCAGAGCAGCTGACCATCAGGCAGGAAGCAGAGGGGCTGGGGTGCGTGCAGACCCTGCCCAGCACATGCCCTCCCTCGGCTCAGAGAAAGCAGCAGGGGAGGAAGCAGAGCAGGAGGATGCAGGTGCAGCGGGCAGGCTCGCAGGCTACGGATCTTAGCCCCGAGAACTGCAGATCCCCCCAACCCCAGATGACGAGGGCCATGCCCACAGACATCCCCGATCCCCCTCCGGGGGCTTCCTGGGGCCCAGCCCAGGGCCTGGAGGAGGTGGTCTGCTGACCAGGGTGGCTGGTCTCCCCCCAGGTGGTGTGCAGTCCCCCCAGGTCCCACAGAGGCAAAGCTGGCACCAGGTCTGCCTGCAGGACCCGTGAGGCCAGGCGGTGGCTGCTGGGAGGCACTGGCCGGGGCAGGTGGATGGGAGTGGGTGCAGGGCAGGTGGGCGGCAGCATGCGGGGTGTGGGGCTGCCACACTCGCCACAGGCGGGCAGCACCACAGGCCAGACCACACTGTCCTCACATATCCCAGCGCAGCTTCCTCTGCTTGCCGCGAGGTGAGGTGACAGTCAGGGAGGGAGCAGGCAGGAGAGGCAGGAGGCACAGGGTGGAGAGAGAGGAAAAGAACAGACACAAGACGGCCTCTTAGTGGGGGCCCGCAGCGAGCGCGGGGGGAGACCCTCAGAGCCTCTGCCTTCTGTGGACAGAGGTGGCGTGGCCGGCCTGGGCAGGCAGTGGGACCGCAGCCCCCGCCCTCCCTCCGGCCCCCCTGACCCACTTCCTGGGTCTGACCAGAGGGCGGAAAACGTAGGTGGCCGCCCTCAGGCATTTTCACAAGTTTGAAACCCTGGAAACTTTTTCCTCAGAACAAAGAACAAAGGCTTCCACGGAGCTGAGGTGACAGGGCCTGCGGTGACCTGGTCAAGCTGGAAGCCACGAAGCAGCACATGCGACGACAGGAAGCGGGGGGGGGGGGGGCAGCGCAGGTGTCACGGTGGGCGCCGGGCGGGGGCCTGGCCACCCCGGCTGACCAGTCTGGGCTCAAGAGCTCATGGGGCAGGGCCAGGACATGGGGATGCCCCCCCGACCCGCAGCTGCCACTGCTCCTGGGCCCCCCTTTGCTGCACTCTCGTCCTGCAGGGGGGTCTGTGGGGCCTCCCGGGGGGTCCAACTCAGCCCCAGGACTAGGCCTGCTGCTCGCATCTCTGTGCCCACTTCTGGCTGCCAGTGAAGGTGAGCAGAGCACCCCCTTCCTGTGGGGAAGCGCTCGCCTGCCCCGGCAGGACAGCCCCGCCCCAGCTCTACCTGGCTGTTGGAAGCACCTCCCTCTGTGGGACAGGTGCGGGGAGGGGCTTACCTGACACTGAGTTCACGCTGTGGCAGCAACACGGGGGAGACACAAGGGAACGGGGCGGGGCGTCACCAACAGCAGCGCCAGCTCAGCTCGCGGTCCACGGCAGCACAGCCCCCACCCGCCACTCCTTCCCTCCAGCCAGGCCCCGCCCCGGAGAACACAGACACCCACAGCCCGGGAGATGGCCTGAACCTGGGACCCTGGGCTGAGCAGAAGGGCTGGGGCTGCAGACCAGCGATTCTGGGCTGGGGGCTAGAAGCAGGGAGTGAGGGCCCCCAGCACGCCGTGTGAAGCGTGCCCAGAGCCGAGGGTGGGGCAATAACCCTGGCCAGGCCCGGGTCCCGAGGCTCCACCACAGAGAAGCCTGGGACGGTAGGGGACCCCATCACCCCGAGAGCCTGGTGTGTACCCTGTAAGGGGCCGAGCCAAGAGCAGTGGGTGCCAGCTCCCCACACCCGGCGCCAGCCGGGCCCCCACGTTCTCAGGGAGCTGGCCCAGCACAGAGAACGACAGGCCACTGGGACGCTCCAAGGCCCAGGGTCACCTCCCGGGGCTGCGAAGGCCGCACGGGGGCTCGGGCCGAGGGCTTAGGGCGGCACTGGCCCGAGCAGCTGGGCAGTGAAGCAGGGCGAGGCGGACGGCAGGCAGGCACTCACCTCCTCCAGCTGGCTGTGCACATGCTGCACGATCAGGTCAATGGCCACCGTGTTTCCGCTCCCTGGGGGGACGGGGGGGGTG